GCTGGTTTGAGTAAGCATCATTACGTCAGTGCATAAGGCCAGTTGATATTTGTGCAAATGTGAATTTAGTTCATTAAAGTGTCATTTGTTTTGGAGACTCTCAGACTTATCCCTCGTCCTTTCTTCTCTCAGAGCTTGATGGAACCTATTATTATATATCAGGATTTTGAGTTGTGTATAACAAAAATGCATTAAATGGTATTATTCGTTTAAACTATTTTCAGTCATCTTGCTACAGCCATTCATTCTCCTTTCCTCTGGCTTAGGTTTTGTTTGCGTGGGTGGTGATTTGAGAGAAGGTTGCACTTTTAAGCATCTTCTATTCCACATTTGCATAGCATTTTAACGTTACCATTATCTCAATTACGCCTGTAGACGAGTTTTAATATTCTCTAATAATGTGAAACCTTATCTTGGTTTTATGGTTAATCGTTATTTTCTGGAAGGAATTTAGAAAATTACTACCAACCTATTATGAACTTAAGAGTAACCACTTTTGACATAAGCAAATTCGGTGGGCAGTAGACTTTGATTTCTCTGCTATTTGCTAAATAACTTTACCAAATAATCATATTTCATTATTCTGTGGATGGGTACAATTTAACTAACTTGAACTACTTGGCTTTTTTACAGAATAACGACCATCTGGAAAGCAATCCTGCAGCTCCTGATAACTTTACCGCCGCGTGGACTGTGAGTGCATCTTTTTTTTGTCCTCATTCTCCTATGCTATCATACATTCTACTCAATTGCACTATGTCATATTATAGAAAATGAATCTCGAACTAATACATATCCTTTCGAGCAACATCCGTGAAGCAGTACTTGAACCTTTCTCTTCTACTCCCTCCACCAATACCATCGGTTCTACGAACACCGGCCCTGACTGCATCGGCTTCAATAGCACTCCTCCAGACCTCTCGGCCACTGGTTGGCTACCATTTTGTATACAAGAGTTTCGGTGAGCTGTTTTTCCTATCCTTTGCCAGAATCTCTAAATTTTTGCATTTAAAACATACATATGGCACATGCTAATTAGCTCGCTTTCTTCATTTACTGTTGTACCCTTCCTCCATCTTGTTTACTTCTACCGTTAAAAGTGTTTTATCTGAAGATTTAAGCTTCTTTCTCTGGCTAGATGGGCACTTCATCTCATTATCATGAGCAGAATACTATTAAATGCGACCCTTTTAATGTACTCACTGTATTAGAGTTATTATTCACTATTTATCCAATGGCAACAGAAAACTGCGCCTCCCTGATTAGTCCCGGCTCGTAGTTGGACAAATAATTACCCTCGGGCCG